CTCCTCAAAATAAGCTGGTGAGTTTTAAGATCACACCAACAACATTATAGATAAGTGCGAATTTAAACCTAGGTTCCAATAATAGCAATAACAATAGCACTTATACTTATATACCGCTTCGCAGTGCTTTACAGCCCTCTCTAAGCAGTTTGCAGAGTCAGCATATTGGCCCAACAATCTGGGTCCTCATTTTACCGACCTCAGAGGGATGGAAGGCTGAGTCAACTTTGAGCCTGGTGAGATTCAAACTGCCAAATTGCAGCCAGCCAGCAGGCAGCAAAAGTAGCCCACAGTAATGCATTATAACCACTAGGCCACTAATTCAATTCAGTTATTCTTTGTAGGAGAGCTATAACGAAAGAGGGAGGACAATTTCAAAGAAGTAACATTCTCATTTAAATTATCAGAAGGAGGAGACAACATTGCCTCAGCCTCAAATCCATCCTCTTCTGAGTGCAATGTGGAATAAATGCAGCAGAACTTAGGATAATGTAGCCTGGAACAAGGAACAGTTCAGTTCATGTATTACTGAATTTAATCAATTCTGGTTTTTTGCAGGGATTAATAAGGTAAAGATTTCCAGCTATGAAACCAACAATTTCTGAAAAAGTTTTTCACCTCAGGAAAGATCCTATCTCCAAAAAGTTAAGTTATAATTGTTTTGTCTTTTACAAATAGCATTAAGCTCACAGGTCTCTGACTAATTCCCCAAATTTTAATATGTTTATAAAGATTGTCAGTCATCCAGGTCATGGTTGTTCGAAAGGTGCTTTTTCAAGAGGCAACTGGACTTTGTTTTTTGAGACCACTTGAAGGTTTATCTGTTTACAACCAAGTCCTTTTGGCAATTCCAAGAATATTCCACAGCCATTTGCACTATTCAGGTGACTCTCAGGGCACAGATAAATCTCCAAGTGGCCTCAACAATTCTCAGAAAGAGCGCTAATAACCAGATGATTGCAAGGAACATAAATCTTTCTATCCTCCAGCATTCAGTCATAACTGAAGAAGTTTCTTGGATGAGAAGCAAAACGTCTTCAAGAAAAAACATCCAGTTGTCTTTTGAAAAAGCACTTTGAGCCAAACTTCAATAGCTTTCCTGATAGGTTAATACTACCCAGCCAAACTATTGTCCACAATGGCTGAGAATTTCAGATTTTTATCCCAACGTGTCTGGAGAGCATTAAGTTGGGGAAAACAGATGTATAAGAAACTGCAAGTGTCCCATGGGATGGTGTGTTTTCTTCTGTCCTTCCTCTTTTTTTTTCTCACAAATTTCCCCCTTCTTCTCCCTTTCAGCATGTTGAGAAACATTTCTATTGAAAGAGTAATACTTACTGAAACTTGAATGTCAAAGTCAATCACGGGTGGATTACATTTGCTGTAATGCCAATGAATACTTGGGAGTGGGGAGAGTTGCATAAGACAAAGACTTCTTCAGATCTCTTAATGGTGGTGAAGCACTTAGGAAACAATATATCTATAAATAGCCTTGCTAGTATGAGACTTCTGCCATAACATACTAGTCAGTCACTATTGATTATAGCAGCACATTAAAAAAAGAATTAGGATCTTCATTATTCTGATTGGCCTTCTCCTACACACCACAGAATTTACCACTTTAAAAACAGGAAATGCATGCTCTTCATCTAAAAATGAAATTGGCATCCTATACTCCCCTTTCAGAAATTGGCAGTGTATTTCTAGGGTAGGAGTTGAGCACTCTTTTTAAAGGAGAATTACACAGTTTTCCCCAACCAGATGTTCTCCAGATGAGTGGCTCTCCAGAGCTGGACAATACGTTTAATTCAGGCTTTGGTTTGAGGAAGTATTAAGCTTCTTTTAAAGATAACTTTGAACTTTTTCACAGAGTGGTGTGAGCAACAGAATGAAGAAATTGCATCATTCATCATATATGAGGTCACAGGTTTTCTCCACTGAAACTGAAACAATCACACTTTGATTAGCTCCTGTAACTGTGATGAGAGAAAAGGACAAGATTTTAGTGATAGAAAATAAACACCACTTCAGTGAAAGATGAAAAACCATGATGCCCTTGTACAGTAAAACACCACTTAAAGGGAACTGGTTGAATTATTGTATCTTCTTTTCAGGAATCCTTGAAACTATAGTTTGGAAAAGAAAGATATGGAATGTCTCTTGCCATCTCATAAATTCTCAGGGTTCTTTTATAGAAGCCACAACAATCAGAATAGTATTAAAGCAGGAAAAGTATTACATAATGTACAGAAATAGGGCTCTACTGAATATTTCTAACTTCTCTGGAAACAAGAGCAAGAATCATATGAAATTCTCTTTTATGAAGCAATTCTGCTTCCATTATCAGGTTCCTGAAATAGGGAAAATATATATTTCCCAGAGTCACAACTGTTATACCTATGATAACCAGGATTTAGATTTTGCCAAAACGGGAACATCATGACTTTTATTCAAAGAATTTACTGGGTTCTTATTTATGCAAGAGGATACTCACATTTTAGTTTCTAAGTACACATTTTGGTTTGGATATTAGAACGCTTACAGGTAATAGCCTTATCACATTTCTGTAAATGGTATTTGGGGGATATTGGGGTCAGATTTACTGAAGTTTAATTTTATTGGACTGAAATTCTGAAACTCCCCTCAGACAGTATGGCAGTGAGCCAAAGTAGAAGTATGAAAGAAAATCCCAGACTTTTAGCTACGTTTAACTGATTTGATATAAATGGGTATGTTTTCTTTCTCTGTCACTTGCTACCAATGGAAATAGATCAATATTTCTTTTGATAATGCTAGGTAATCTGTCTCTATTCAGATACTTTGGATTGCCATTTCTACACTCTGAACCACTAGCCATCTTGCTTGGGACCTATGGATCACTTCCCAGTGCATACAGGAAAGTATTAAAGACGTGATTGTTTTCCTAGGCTTTGGGACAGGGGATGTGTGTGTGTGTGTTTGTGTGTATATTTGCTTTAAGTCGCTTGTGGTCTTTTGGTTTTTGTGTTTTTTTGTTAATTGTTAACTGTCCAGAATTGTCATTAGGCAGCCTCTAAATTGTACAAATAAAGTAAAACCAAAGCCAAGAAACACAGCCTGAAACAAGAAATGATCAGAATATAAAATGAACAACTGCCTTACCATCAGCCAGTAAATCAGTGAAGTATAAACCAATGAATTTAGGCAGGAGTGTCTTGAGAAAAGTTTAAACACTATTTAACAGTAACAGGGAACACAAGTTCCTTGTCACTACAGCATTGTAAAGCCAAAAGCAATATCTCCTGTCTCCACAATTACTGAAAGCAAGTCCAGCCTTCTTCAGGCCAGCCCTGGCTTCCCAGTGGTGTCAATTTCAGGCTGTAGAAAGGCACATTCAACTTTAGCAATCTATAAGCACCTGTAGCTGCTAAGAAATCCTTACCAGTTTGAAGAGGACCACATTTCTCTGCTAAGACAGTATTTTTACAACATATTTACTAAGAGGTTAAACAGCACTGAATAGAATTAGACTTATGGCTTGATAAATCATGCATAATAATTGCACTACTAGTTTTCCTGATATAAATATTGCATAGAAGTCCTGCATTATGGGTGCAGAAGTATATCAAAAGCGAAGTCTATCAAGGATGATAAATTAAGGGCATGAATGATGAAGAATATTCAGGACCCTACAGTACTTCAAAAGGGGGAAAAAGAACTGCAGATACTCAAACAATGAAAATATAATTAACTTTAAAATTTGGACTATACTATAACAAAACGGAAACTCACTAGAACTTATTTTAAAGTAGATTTTTAAGGGTTTAAAGTGTATTATTATTGTTGTTGTTGTTGTTATATCTTAAAAACCCACTTTAAACCCTTAAAAACCCACTTTAAAAACAGTCTATTAAGTGAATAGCAAGCAAAAAGAGAACATGGTGTATGCAGGAAAATATGTTGTATGATATTAAGAAAAAAAGGAAAAATTATTTGGAATGGCACTGCCAAGAAAAAAAATTCAAGTCAAGGGCAATTAACTATAAAAGCATAAAAACAAAGATGCGAAAATGAGAAGAATTTTCAGCTGCAACCTTACTTCCGAAAAAGCCTGCTATGTGTCTTGGAAATCTGGAAAGAAATTAGAATGTGGAATGTGGCTGTTAAATGAAGCAGTTAGGTTTGGGTACTGTACTTCCACCATACACCCAGACTTACTCTGGATACCCAAGCCATTAGGAGACGCATGTAAGGAGAATAGACTTGAAATTGTCTCCTTGTCAATTATTTTTGTATTTGGCTCTTTTATTTCATTCATTCATTCATTCATTCATTCATTCAAACAATCAATCTGTATAACTGCTAATGTCACATTTGTGACTTTGAATTGGTCATACGATTAAATCCAACCAATAAATAAAATAAAAAATCAGTAAAAACACCACAGGCCCCTTTGCTCCCCCACTAAACTCTTCAAAAGTAACTACTTGGAGGATTGCAGGTTTGTGTACTTTTTCATTAAGTTTTGCTTCAGCTTAATAGCCGTATTATTCTTTTCATGACCTGCTGTTCTTTCATATATTTTGTGACACATCTTGCATACTAGCCATTCCCTGACAACAGGATTGGGAGAAAATAAGGAGAGGCCATTTCTTTTGATCCAATGTGTCTAGACACCAGGGTTGCATAGAAAACATTAGAATATAAAACAAGCAACATTTTAACAATGGAATAAACTGCCATGGAAAGTGACCAGTTTTCTTCACGAGGAGTTTTTTAAGCAAACTCAGGATGCTGAATAAAAACCTCCCATGCCACACGATTTTCACTTCCCAATTATCAGAAACAGTTTCAAACCAACTTGCAGTTGTTCTCACATTGCTGACCTTGAGAAGTCAGAAAACAGCAAAGAAAACCATTCCTTCACAAGCTCTGCCCACTGATGCTGTGGGTCCTGCTGCCAAAAACAATCAGTCAAGTCCACTCCACAGAAAAGAGAAATGAAAACAACCACTACTAACCACCATTCATGTCCTTACTTTATGTTGGGTACATTTGTTTGGTCATGTGAAAAGTATCTTGTCAGAATTGCTGCAAAATTGGCCAGCCACCATCCCAAGAAGAGGATCCAGGACCTGCAAAGGAATGTGAGAAGCAGTTTCTTCCCAGACGAATTGGGCAGCCATGGGTTTCGTTTCGTAGAGTTACAGCATTTAAAAGTGTCTTCAAAGAAAATACTAGCTTTGTTGTAATTTCAACCCCATTGTGGTGCAGCTGGAAATATATGGAAGTTGATAATCACTGCAGAGAATCATACATTGAAGCACTGGAAGATATGCCTTCCAAACCTTATACGCTGCATAACATATTCAAACCTAAAAACAATCCTAAAGCTATATCCCAAAATGCACTAATCAGGTTTTCACAAAAATTGAGGTGTTTGTCACCAAAGAAAATGGAAGAAAGAAAAACAGACAAGGAATCAGAGTGCTGGGAAGCAGAAGCTGTCCCGGTCTTTGACTACAGATTGTCATGCCTATAATTTTTTGGTTTCGAGCCATCTTCCTCATTCCCTATGATGACCAACAAATTCTCTATTATTATAAGGGCCATATACTGTATCTACATGATTAAACATGAACCAAAGTTAAAATATTTCATAGTCTAGCAATTCCAGCATACAAGTTTTCCTATTCCATGCTTAGTATGGAATGCATAGTGGAAACAGGCAGAAGATATCCTGCTCAGTTGAAAATTACTCTCATAAAGCTGCAGTCCAGGGCTTTTAAACATCAACAATAATTCTTGATGGTTGGAGAACTCCAAGGTAACACTAGATGTAGCACAGGCTGCTCTAAGAATGTGTGTAGTCATGCAACATGATGGCTAAAATGATGATAGTGGAGTGTCTTGAAATCTTCTCATTCTTTCAGATTTCTCAGAAGGGAGCCTTATCTTGGCAAAGGACCAAGGAGGGCTTCATGTCTGGGAATCAACCCAAAGTTTAAGGCGCAGTGTAACAAGGGACAGATTTTCTCGTGGTTCCTCAACACTTCACTCAGATGTTTCACTTCATCTGTCAGCTTTCCAATCTCCCGTTTTAGAGAAGTATTCTCTTGTTCAAGGCACTCATATTCCTGAAATAATTGATAAAAATAAGAAGATCATGCATGCAAGCAAAAATTCATGATTATTTGTTGTTTTTGTTACATTATTCTTCATGAAGTGCTTAAATTCTCAAAAAGAAGTTTAAAAATAACCAAAAAGACAATTAAAAATGATACAATTATCTGAAAAATATACTTACTTTGAAAGTACATAACTGCTAATTTATTTTCTTCCCAGTCTGGCTTTTAGTGTATTTAAATTTTACCTACCTAAGGTATAGTTCAGTGGTGATGAACCTATGGCAGTGTGCCAGAGGCGGCACTCAGAGCCCTCTCTGTGGTGCGTGCCGTGCCCTGGAGATGGCAAGGGACTGGCCCCTGCCGCCCTGGCCCCGCCCACCCAGTATGCCATGACCACCGTGGCCACACCCACCTGGCACCCAGTGATAAATAAGTGGGTTTTGCATTGCAGTTTGGGCACTGGGTCTCTAAAAGGTTCGCCATCACTGGTATAGTTTATCTATATTGTTCTATTTAAAATATTTCTATAGCAAATTACCAGTAAACCAATACCTAAATGGCAGTGTAGAGCCAAATCAAATAGAATAAATCATATAGTGGATATTTTTTTTCCAAAACAACCATTACTCTTAACATAATTTGTTTAATAAATATTAATAAAATCAACAGAAGTCCAATATCAGAAGACCTTAGCCAAGACAAACATCTTATATCTGTGGAACCACGTGGTTGGACAATCCAAAGGGAAGGAGCCTAGTTGGGAAAGTTCTTTATTGGTCAGTATCTAAAGAATGAGCTACCATAAAGGAAATCTCCAGTCATGAGAGATTTAACATCCAACAACGGGGAAAGCTTTGGCTGTTCTTTTCAAATGCACTTATATTTTATCATTTTATCAGTGTAAACAAGGGGTGCAAAATATGAGATTTCTGATCACATGTTGCTTGTTGTAAAAGTTGCCATCCCATTGCAATGTTTAATTCAACAATAATGGAGATCACAAAATATATGGATACCAATTTTACAGATAATTAAATTAACTTGGTTTTAATTACATTTGAACCTAAATTACATTAAATCAGCTCAAGTTTTGCTTTTGCTTTGTTCTCTATATTTGGAGAGGGCTCTTGGCCATTGGTTTAAAATTTTTATTTATTTGTTTCTGAAATTTAAATGCCATCCAGTTCACGAAGAACCAAAACACGAAGAACTAAAAACCATATAGAAATACAATACATCAATAAAAGAGCCAGATAAAAACAAGACTAAAATAAGTTAAAAGTTAAAAGGGGAGGGGAGGGTTGTTAAGCTGTCAATCACTCCTTGGATTTAGTGCTGTTTCATGAGCCTGATGTGAGTTGAGTGAGCCAGGTCTTCAGACTCTTTGAAAGGCCAGGAGAGTGGGGCACCTCTTCCTGAATCCCACCAGTCAGTCTTTAACTGACAGGGTCCAGAACATACCTTCTCTATCTGAGCAGGTGAGACAAACTAATGTGATGGGGGTGAGACAGTTCCTCAGGTAATGTGGGCCCATGAAAAAAATTGTTTGTTTCCTGATGTAAACCACCAAGGGCAATTTTTAGAATTGAAAACAGGCATTAAATATGATAATAAATAAAATCTCCATAATTAGGGGCATTATGCTGTAGCTTTAAATGCCATAACCGTAGGGCAAATGGTGAAGAAAACTGGCTGTAGGTTTTAGCTTGGAGTGACCTTTTCTGATTTCTGTCTGTGGGAACATAGCACTTGAATCAGCAGCACACAGGTGGTCACAGCTCAAACAGCAAAACTCAGGAATGCGAGATTTTCTAAAAAATATTGAGTGGCTATTTGACTTTCTCAGTCCAAAATATTTGTAAATTCAGTCATGAAGGAGGCTCTAAGAAGGCTATTAATACCTAATTCCAAAATGCAGCACAAAAGAAAAGAAAAGAAGAACATAGATTTCTTTTTTTCCGTTTAAAAGAAAGCATGCACTAAATTACCTGTAGAGATATATAGTTAAATGACAGTAATTTAAGGAGACAAGGGAAAGATTATGGTCCAACATCCTCAGTGAAAGGACTATTTCTGTAAAAAATATCTCTTGGCCATCAAATGTGGGCTTACTTCAATGCTTGGCCAGAGGGGGGGGGTATAGACCAAAAAAGTAGAAGGTAAATCTACTGGTTGAACATTGAACACTGGAAGTTTTGGATAAGCAAGGATTCCTGATTCCCAGTTCTTTAAGAATAGCAGAACTAAATGTATCCCTCCTAAATTATTTTGATAGAATGAAATAAACATGAAAATGAAACAAACTCAGAATGGATATACTGTATATGTTTCCAAGATGATAGTTCCTAGTGCAATCCAAGGTATCTTGCGGTTATTCTACCTTGTCCTAACTTATTTTCCTGATAAGCAAAAAGATTGATGAACTTGAAGGAAAAGATAGAATTCCAAATCACAGCTATGCATTCATGCACCTAGCTAAACCATTATCTACTTAAGCAGGGTTTATAGCAAGGAAGTGGAACTTGCCAAGCCAAGGGCTGCAGATATCTTTGAGAGACACTTAGGGGACCATCTTTAAGAAGTACATGGGGCTGGGTTTAAAAAATGATCAGAACTGCTAAACTTTAAAAATTCCAAACATGCACATATGAACATGCACATACAAATGCATATTCTTAGAGATTGGGGGTACTGAGGAAGTAGGACAGCAGAGTCACAAAGTAAGGGGACAGAAATATAGCTTTGAGCTTTTGGAATGGTGGCAGGGGTCTGTAAGAAAGCCAATCAGACATTATGGGCCACAGGTTGGCAACCTGTGATTCCTGAGCTGCATGTGGCTCTTTGAGCCTTCTCCTGCGACTCCCAGCCTCCTCTGCCATTTGCAGAGAGAGGGACAGAGACCCAGAGAGGCACTTGCGCTTCCCTTCTCTCTCTCTCTCTCTCTCTCTCTCTCTCTCTCTCTCTCTCTCTCTCTGTAAAAAAAAAGAGAGTGGCCTCACTGGACAAGCTGACATGCTTATTGGGCGGGGCTCCTGCCTTGGCTGCATCTCTGCAGGAAGCAAGAAGGGCAGGAGAGAGCCAACCTGTTGGAGAACAGCTTGAAGCCAGCTTGCCAGGTGAGCAGAAGATCGGAGAGAGGGGGGAGAAAGAGAGAGAGAGGGAGAGAAGAGAGAGGGAGAGAAAGAGAGAGAGGGGGGAGAGGAGAGAGAGAGAGAGAGAAAGAGAGGGAGAGGAAAGAGGGGGAGAGGAAAGAGAAAGAGAGAGAGAGGGAAAGGAGAGAGAAAGAGAGAGGGGGAGAGGAAAGAGGGGGGAGAGAGGAAAGAGAGAGGGAGAGAAAGAGAGAGGGAGAGAGAAAAAAGAGGGGGAGAGAGAGGGAGAGAGAGAAAGAAAGAGGGAGAGAGGAAAGAGAGACAGAGGTAGAGAGGAAAGAGAGAGACAGACAAAGAGAGAGAGATGGAGAAAGAGAGAGGGAGAGAGGAAAGAGAGAGAGGGAGAGAGAAAGAGAGAGGGAGAGAGAAAGAGAAAGAGAGGGGGGAGAGGAAAGAGAGAGGGGGAAGAGAGAAAAAGAGAGAGAGAAAGAGGGGGAGAGAAAGGGAGAGAGAGAAAAAGAGAAGAGAGGGAGAGAAAGAGAGAGAGAAAAAAAAGAGAGGGAGAAAGAGAGAGAAAGAGAGGGAGGAGATGAAAGAGATAGAGAGGGAGAGAAAGAGAAAGAGAGAGAAAAAAGAGAGGGAGAAAGAGAGAGAAAGAGAGGGAGGAGAGGAAAGAGATAGAGAGGGAGAGACAGAAGAAAGAAAGAGAGAGAAAGAGAGGAAAGAGAGAGAGAAAGAGAGAGGGGGAGAGGAAAGAGAGAGAGAGGAAAGAGAGAGGAAGAGAAAGAGAGAGAGAAAGAGAGGGGGAGAGGAAAGAGAGAGAGGGAGAGGAAAGAGGGAGAGAGAGAAAGAGAGAGGGAGAGAGAAAGAGAGAGGGAGAGAAAGAAAGAGAGAGAGAGAGAAAGAGGGGGAGAGGAAAGAAAGAGGGGAAGAGAGAGAAAAAGAGGGAGAGAGAAAGGGAGAGAGAGAAAGAGAAAAAGAGAAAGAGAGAGAGAAAAAGAGAGGGAGAGAAAGAGAGAGAAAAAAGAGAGGGGGGAGAGAGAAAGAGAGAGAGAGAAAGAGAGGGAGGAGAGGAAAGAGATAGAGAGAGGAAGAGACAGAAGAAAGAGAGAGAGAGAAAGAGAGGAAAGAGAGAAAGAGAGAGGGAGAGGAAAGAGAGAGAAAGAGAGAGAGGAAAGAGAGAGAGAGAAAGAGAGAGAGAACTCATGCACAGCAGCCTCTATTTCTTTTTAATTAATTCTTCAATCAAGCTCCCCTTCCCCTCGCGCGGGCATGTGCGCGCAAATTTTGCGGCTCCCAGTGTTTTCTTTTCTCTGGGAAACAGGTCCAAGTGGCTCTTTGACTGTTTAAGGTTGCAGACCCCTGTTATAGGCCATGCCTGGTCATCCCGGTCTGCAGTTGTAAACCTACAGTTTTCTGACTAATCCATTGGTGCCTGAATTTGCTCAATCTCCTCATCCCTAAAGAGTGGATTACAAATCACAATGAAAGGATCTGTGTGCCAGGATAAATCAAAGGGACTCTTCTTTAGAAACCCTAAAAAAGGACCAGATGATCCAATGACCAAAGCACCCTCAGAGCTCCTCGAATGAGCTCAGTTCTTTTGCATGGGAAGGAAGGGTCTTTGGCACTAGACTTCCAAAAAAAAAAAGAGAGAGAGAGAGAGAGAAGTTACTTTTACAAACATCAAATTTCCCCGTGCCTGTCTGATCTCAATTTCAACCAAAGCATGAATGAGAAGTTATTTTTGAGTTCCAGTAAAAGAAAGGAAACCAAGAGGGACTCAGAAAAAAAATTGCTTTACAAGGCAAATGTACATCAAATGGCTAGTTTCCCCCTTGATTTGAATGTGGCTAAAATAGAAATGCATCAATGTCCTTAACCAAAAAAGAATACAAACAAAAGCCATCGCTGCTGAGCCACCATGACCAATATATTCATTAACTGCCTTACTGCACACATGAAGTCCAAGAATGGATGAATAATGTGCTCTTTTCCATAGAAAGGACATGTTGGACTCTGGTCCTCTACCCTTATTCATCATTTACTCAGGTATATTCATAATTGCTCATATGAAAGCTTTGAAGCATCGATAATCTCAGTCTTGGCTAATACACTTGCTATTCTACACTTAAACTCTGTTCTTTAGAAATCAGTTTATAAGCATCAATTGTTCAATTGGAAAGGAGAACATGGAAAAAAAATGTTGCAATGATTAAACATGCAAGAAAGGGTAAAAAGACTCTTTTTTAACAAATCACAATAATATTATAAATTGCTTCTCCTGCCCAGTTGTCTATCAGTTAGAACAAGACTGTTTGGAAGAGATTTCTAGGCATAATAGGATATTAGAATAATATCTAATAATAATAACAACAACAACAACAACTGCCTATCCCAGATCCTGGATAAGGACTTGATAGGTAGACAAAATGCCAAATACAGTCTGAACATCTGGCTGACTGTGCAATAATCCAATAATAATAATAATAATAATAATAATAATAATAATAATAATAATAATAATAATAATAATATCCTCCTGATTCTGTTCGCAAGCTATCCGAAAAATGCCAGGCTGGTCTGGAGCAAAACACTAAACTGTATGAAGGAGAGGATAAAAAGGCACCCAGCCAGGGACATTCCATATCCATAAGCCCTGAATTGACAACTGACTTCAACACACTGATGGCAAGGTAGGGGCTCACCCACACATCTTCCTTGCTGGACTGCCAAAATGGCCTGCTAATTGTTTGCTGAAGAAAATGTGTATTAGATCAGAGTTCCTTTAACTCTCTTCAGCCAGACTTACTCTTCTGAGATTCGAACCTGGGCTATCTGCATGTTAGGCAGTTGTTATATATACACACACACATACATACACATACACATGTATGAATGTATGTATATGTATATGTATGTATGTATGTATGTATGTATATGTATATGCATATTTGTGTGTATGTGTGTGTGTATATATATGTGTGTGTGTATGTATGTATGTATGTATGTGTATGTGTGTGTGTGTGTGTGTGTGTGTGTGTGTGTGTGTGTGTGTGTGTGTATATATATGTTTCCCCTGTCCAATCATGTCTGACTCTTGTGGGTGGTTCTCATCTCCATTTCTTAGTTGAGAAAAAGGGAAAGTAAAGAGAGAAAATAACTCAACCCTGATTCATAGCATGATAAATCTGTCACTTCCCAAAATTGACAATGCAGGTAAATCCAGACAAATCTGTACTTTTTCATGAGCTATACCCTGTGAAATTCAGTGCCTTGGGCATTTGTGATAGTCAATAGCTGAAGCATCATCAAAAAAGTGTTAATGGGGGAACAACATCTAAGTATGGATGCTTTGTGGTTAGAAACAGCGTATTGCCATTTACAGCATGTTATATGCAACCTGTGGGAGATGGTGACTTCCTTTGTAGTCTTTGCCTAAGCATCCATCTAGCTTAGCCTTTCCCAGACTTGGGTAACCAGATTTTGGTGTAGGCCCTGAGACTCAATCCATCTAGAGCAGCGGTTCTCATTTGGGGTCGATCGACCATTTCACGGGGGTCGACAATCAAGGCTGTCCGCCATTTTTTTTTCCTTTTCCGGCGGGTGCCTTATCTCTCTTGGGCTGGGCCAGCTGGTGGCTCAGCCGGTGGTCGGCCTGCTCTGTCTCTGCTGCTTGCCAGCTATGCCTCGGCCGGCGCAGGGGGCGGCACCACGCATACGTGGCGCTCCTGGGCAGGGAAAGTCCTCAACTTATGACAGGTTGGGTAGTCCTCAACTTACGACTGGTTTAGTCCTCAACTTATGACCAGTTTAGTCCTCGACTTATGACTGGTTGGGGGGGTCGCAGCATTAAAAATGTTGAGAACCACTGATCTAGAGAATGCTGACTTGGAAATATTGCCTTTAAAGCTAAAATATTATCACACAAACTTAGATATCTACGAAAATAAGGTTTTGTCCATAAAAGCTTATTAAACCAAGAGGATCTGCATGAAGGTTAAAAAAAAATCTAGATGCCAACTGAAGCCTCATATCATTTTTTATGTGTCTTGCATAAATAACACACATAAAAGAGGTGGAGCTTTGAACACACATACTCCTCCTCCCACTGTGGATGCCCCTAATTAAGGAACTAATACTCTGTTAATTCTTAAGGTGACCCATGACTTGTTTTGCATTTGATAATGATACTAATTGTAGATCTTGAAAAAGGCCAACGCATCAGTCACCTCATGGAGTTTATCTGCTTTCTGAGTTTGTTTCTTTCGGCTTCTCTGGGCAGCGACTCTGTTTTTCTCTCTCCGTCTTACTCGTCTTTCATCATCATCATGACTCTGGTCAATAAAATCAGAATATGCTTGTTTAGTTAACAACTTCCTTTTCCCCCAAAAAAATCCCTCAGCATCAAGAAAATCAAGGAAGCTATACTTTGACGAACACACGGTTGATAATCTTGTGAGCCTTGATCACATTTTCCAAGAGTGGCTGATATTTATATTTTCCTTACATTGAGTGGTAAAGAAATGTACACATAGTCTCGTTAGTATATTGATGTAAACTAAAGACTGGTTACAAGAACTCTTGTGGCTGTATCTGGTTCACACAGTATTCTGAGTGCAAGATAGCTAACTCTGTTCTCCTGCCCAATGACAGCTTGCAAGAGTTCCTAAGAAGAGGATGTGAGTGAGCCAGAGTTTGCTTTCTTTTTCCTGGGATATTTGAATAGTTATTTTAAAAAATAAAATAGAAGGAAGGAAATCAGATCATCAAAGTTTTGGAATGCGTTAATCACACCTGGATCCTAGCTTTCCTCCAAGAAAGATAGCAAACATGCACAAAGTCTTTTATTTTATCCTCTTGTGAGGTCAGGTAAGGCTGGGCTAAGTTAGTAGTGCTGCAATAACATAGCAGACATAATCAATTCAGTTAAAGACCCAATGGCTTGCATTTGCCCAATTTATTAATGTTATGCAGCTTAGCTTTGTGAAGTGAGTTTTTTTATTTAGGAAAAAGCTAATTCAATTGAGATTAACAGTGTTATGTGAATGAAACCAATGCCGGTCTAAATTGTGTTGATTTTTTGGCAACTGCAGCACATTGCTGGCTCATATTTAAATGATTGTCCACTAGAACTCCGAGATCCCTCTCTTGGAGTTAGGAAGAAAGTTAGGAAGGGCATTTTGCTATCTAATTTCTAAAATGTGATCCCAGGAACTTTTGGAGCAACAAATGTTACAGAAAACTGGGCTCAGAAAGAGTTTGACACAATTAAATCTAAAATCATGAATCAAACACAAAATGTTTGGATCATATTTGGGATAGTAGGTCAAACAAAGTGCCATACATATGTAGTGGGGTTTCTGCTCTACTAAGATGGTAAATGTTTTGCGTATCCAAAGGGAAATCCTCATAAAGTATGTTGAACATTCCCAATGTAACTCATGGTTTTGCCCCATTCATACATTCTTTTATCTTTCCCTGTTTCTCTTTTCCTTTAAAAAAGCTTTTTTAGTATGAAAAAGAGTAAAGCCATAAAGTGATGTCTAGCACATTTCAGTAAAACAAGATCAGTTCAAGAGAGCATACCACTAGTTAGAACAGGAGTGTCAAACTGTCGGCCCACGGGTCGGATGCATTGTAGCGAAACCGTGCCCACCCCATTGCCAGCAATGGCAAAAAAAGTTGCAATACGTTGCGACGTTGTGAATTTGACACCCCTGAGTTAGAAGAATCATTTTAATGTACCCTTGCTTAATAAAATTTTATATTTGTGATCAGTGAGATGGATGGATGGATAGATAAGCAAATTCTATATGATACAGTGGTATTTAAAATATAGTGAACTGCATGCAATCCTGGTTTCGGAAGCAGGAATGTGTGTTTAGAATGTAGTTTGATAAAACTGAAGTTTGAATTAGCTATTGCTAAACTGCTATATCCGATACATCAATGTTCTTGTTTTTATACTTTTGTTTTGAAGCCTGAGAAATTCTACACAATTCACCTGTTGCCAGTTTAGATGTCTGATTTTAGTCCAACAAAATATCATCTTGCCTATATCATATCTGTGCCCTGTAAAAGCAATGCTACCATTTTAATGTATATTTAAACTGAATGTATATTTAAACTGATTGTGGAATCCAATTCAAAATACCTGGATTTGAGGAACAGACTTGACAAGCATAGGCAGGTACATTTTGAGTAGGTAAAATGAGGACTCAGATTGTTGGGGGCAATGTAAATATATATATATATATATATATATATATATATATATATATATATATATATATATATATACACATACATACATACCTACATATATATATATATATATTTGTTTTCTGAGGTTTTCGCGGATGTTTGTATGTAGGTCTTTGGTTGTTCGGGTTTTCTCCCGCGTAAAATTGGAAGTGTCTTGGCGACGTTTCGACGAAGTCCCATTCGTCATCTTCAGGCTGGTGTTTTCAGCTTCGTGCTTTGAAAACACCAGCCTGAAGATGACGAATGGGACTTTGTCGAAACGTCGCCAAGACACTTCCAATTTTACGCGGGAGAAAACCCGAACAACCAAAGACCTACATACAAACACCCGCGAAAACCTCAGAAAAAACACACACACATATATAAATGTAAATATATATACATTGCTTACTGGTGTACACCGCTTAGAGAGTGCTTGCACTTAAAGCGGTATATAAGTCTCATAAATAAATAAAATAAATAAATAAATATAGAAGTAGTATATGAGCTAATATCCACCTCAAGTGCAATAAGACATCTCAAGTATCAATAAGCCTCCTTGTTATATAGGTGTGTGATCTTCAGTGGCATGATGGCCACCAGAGAGGCTGATAACCGCTTCCTTGCCAGGGTGCTCAGAAATGCCCAAGACCCCAAAGCAAGAAGATATTATAATTGATGCTGGAGGTATCACCCGCAAGAGCCGTTGCCTTCCCAAGTATGATAGATACAAATAGTTGCCAGGTAATAAGTCTTGTAATTTACCAAATATTTAATATATTCAATTGATTAAAAACAGTTTAAAATTTTTCCAAGAGAGCAGTGGCTAAGGGTAGGGGGAAATAAAATTCTTCTATGTAAGTTGGAGTTCTTACTCTTGTCTTAAGTATCTTAAATGGCCTAACCTAACTCAACATATACTCTGAAATGCTGTGCAGTCTCCTTGCCTCCTGATCTTTAGTATTCATGGGGAGACCCTCACCAATATCCTCCTTTTTTATATTAAACAAGTGCAAGAGAGACAGAGAGTTTGGCTAGAACTGAGAAACCATGAGTTCTAATCCTGGCTAAGGTACACAAGGCATGCAAATCAATAGGGACTTTGGGCCAGTCACTCCTATTCCTCTTAGGAAGGAGGCAATGGCAAACCACTTCCAATTTTTTGGGCCAGGAAACTGCTGACTCAAAAGCCCACACAAAAGTTCGAAAATAATAACATGCATTTAAAGAATATCCGCAGTACCATAAAGAATGGGAGAGAAAAATTGGGAAATTCCTTTTGCATAAGAAAACTGTTTGAGAAATTGGATTTCGGCCTGGGATCAGCTTACATGTTACACTCAGATGAGTTTCCATGTCTCCCTGCAGGCACTTCCCAAATCATGAAGACTAGTAGTGAACCATAGCAATGTTACATCCTATATTTTCCTGACCCAATTCAGAGTGGACTGTGGCAATATAGAGAGTAAATAAATAATTATACAAATCCTTAGAGTACTGCCCAGATGGGGATGATGTGCCCTGGAAAGTCTTTCTGTGATAGCATAATCCTGCAGGAAGCTAAGATGGTGTGAGCAAGGCAAAACTGCAAAGCCCCACTTGACTTCATGTACAAATTGCTATGGGACACCGCATAACTGTTATACACAGCTCTGCAGCTATAAATTTAATCTATTATGCTTACATCTAATTGCCTCAATCTATACTGTACAGCTTATTTATCTTTCATGAGCTGAAATGCCACCTTTAGCTTTTTGTTAGAGTAGGTAGGTAGCCTTAAAATCTATTAAGTGCATAAGTCTGGGGTCTTCAAACTTGGCCCTTTTATGATTTGAGGACTTCAGTTCCCAGAATTCCTCAGCCAGTTTGCCTGGTTGAGGAATTCTGGGAGTTGACGTCCACAAGTCATAAAAGAGTCAAGTTTGAAGACCCCTAACATAAGCAATCAAAAGATCTGATAAAGATTATGATCATTTAAACCTAAGCCTGATGAAGGAAAAGGAAGATGGATCTCTGGTCCTGTTAGATCACTTTATTTCATCTTTGACTTCCTTCTACTAACTCAGTGGTTCTCAACCTTTTTAATGACGCGACCCCCAACCGGTCGTAAGTTGAGGACTACTCAACTGGTCGTAAGTCGAGGACTACTCAACTGGTGCAGCACTGTTTGCAGAATGGGACTTTTGGCGGGCTCAGCAGGACAGAGACAGCCTGGACAATTCCTATTGGCTTTTGAAAGCCAATAGAATTAGACTCTATTCAAGAGAGTCTATTCTATCGGCTTTCAAAAGCCAATAGAATAAAAGGGAGTAACACAGCTAAGGAAAAGGGGGGGGAAATGGTGGACTGCATTGTTTGGCGACCCCTGTGAAATGGTCGTTCGACCCCAAATGGGGTCCCGACCCACAGGTTGAGAACCACTGTACTAACTAATCTCTCCAACTTCAACTTGCTCACTACATGCAAGAACAAAGAACACCCGTTTGTTACTGACACTATAGTGTTATAAATGTTATAATTTTTCTAGTTCACCTCCTTCAATATAAACATTTAGTCTTGCAGTTTCAGTATATTCAATATAGTTAACAAGCTTGTTAACAACTTGCTACAAATTAGTGTATGTGCTTGGTTCCACTATTCCACTCTTCCAACTGGCCTCTGAAAGACCCCTTACTGAACTCTGGAGAGTTGAGTTTTTATCAACTTTTAGTTGGAAATGACGAGAACTTGAGTCCAACACACGTACAGTGTGCTGGATTACGTAGACTGATACAGTTAGTACTGAACCAATGGTTCTCAACCTGTGGGTCGGGACCCCATTTGGGGTCGAACGACCATTTCACGGGGGTCGCCAAACAAGGCTGTCTGCCATTTTTCCCCCTTTTCTTTGGCCATGCCCCTGGCACCCGGTGATGTATAAGTGGTTGGGGGGTCACCACAACATGGGGAATTGTATTATGGGGTCACGGCATTAGAAAGGTTGAGAACCACTGTACTAAACTAATTGGACCCATGCTAATAACAGCAGTGATTCAGTGATTCTGAACAGTGATTCTGTTCTTCTGTTCATACAGGACCTGTCTTTTGGGGATGCCACTTGCTGGATGACAGAGCCGGGGAACTGAAGTTTAAGGGTATCAAAACTCTGCTGGTTCAGACAAAAGTTCTCTAGTCTAGAACTCCACAGAGGCCTACCAAAGAACAGGTGAATAAGATCTGGGTATGTAGGTTTGGTTCCCCACTCCATCCTAACTGTGACAAGCAGGTGAAGGCTAGCCCGGACACCCACCACTCGTAAAATCCTGAAGACAAATGTATATACAACAAGATCAATAGCTGTTGATCAAATATTAATTGTTCAAAGACATCTCCTCCCAACTACAGAATGATAAACTTATTTCAAGCAGTGGGAAGTTCCATTCTTTTCTCCCTTCTTCTGACTAGAAGTTCCTACCTCCTCCGTTTCTCGAAATAAGGCAAATTCTTGTAATAAGGAGGGGAAGGGAAGGGAAAGGAAAGGAAGGGAAAAGGAAGGGAAAATGTGGGGCGTGGGGCGCGATCCATAATTTTATGCACCACTTTTATCTCCTTCTGTGGTTTTCGTCTTTCTGCTACCCGAAACTTTAAAAAAATAAAAAAATAAAGCGCCTTTCCTTCCGAAGAAACCAGTCCTTTCGAGGTGCCACCGCTGCCCGCGTGCGAGTGAGCCAGCGAGGTCCGGCGCGTCCACACGACAGCGATGAAAGAATTCCTGCCCGGCCAACGCTTGAAAGACCCGGCTGCAACTTGTGATCTGAAGAGCGCGATTCAAAGGCAATGTCTGAATCGCGGAGGGAAGTTTCTTGGAGGCGCGTCTGTCCAACTTTTCTATCCCCTCCTCCCCGCCCCCCCCCCATCCCAACCCCGCGCCCCATCGGGCTTCGGTTTACCTGCAGAGTTCCCTCGGACGAGGAACTTCGTTGCAAAGGGCTTCCCGCAGCGGGGATCCCCTGAGACATCCTGGCCGAAGAGAGAGAGAAGGTCGGACGGCCGGTCAGGAGGCCAAAAGACCCTTAAAGTCCCGGAGAAAACAGCGTAGCCACAGCAAGCGCCGGGGACGCGCATGGGGGACTCGCTGCACCCGCCGCCGCCTAAGCGGAAAGCCCAAAGAGGGGCATCCCGGAGGCGCGTGCTGCCCTCGGCGCTTCCCCGGCACCTGACCGCCCCCGCCGCCGCCGCCGCGCCTGCTTCCCCAGCTGCTCTTCTCTCCAGCCAGCGCTCGGCGGCCGGGAAAACCAGGAGCCGCTCGCCCTGCCCGGCGCCGCCGATCTGCTCAACTCCAGTTCATGGAAATCACGTGGCGGCCCTTGAAACTTCAGGAGGGAACTGGCTGCGAGACCGGGAGGCGGCCTTCTCCGATAGGGAACTGAAAAGAAAGGGGCTTTTCCCTTCTTCCGTCCCGTTGGCGGGCTGTGGGGTTTCGGGGTGGCTCTAGAGCCGGAATCCGCTCGGCTGACAATCGAAAGCTTTCAGCTGAACGTGGGAGCCCGTTCCTTCTCTCGCCCGTCCTCTGCCCCGTTTAAAAGGGCCGCGCTTGTTAGGGGTGTCTGACTAAAGAGCGGTGCCGTCAGAAAACAGGAGGCGGAAACCGGGAGCAAATTCTGAAAGAGTTGGTAGGAAATCGCCTCCAGCGTTTCCACTGTAAAATAAAGGAGAGCCGCTGTTTCACTTGCGCGTGCAAGGGGCAGCATGGCTGTGTCGTGCGGTCTGAATCGCACCTTTTCACGAAAAGTCCCACTCAAGGCAGCATAGTCTGCATTGAAAAGAATGGCCCGCACAAAATAAACCGCATCATTAAACATTTATCTCAGCTAATAATTTAGCTTAAAACCTTAATTGATCCATTTTTATTGTGAGCTACCTTTATTTCTGTGGAAAGTTAAACTGTAAATTAAACTTCTAAAGTATAAAATGCACTGGGAAGTGGATAAATTTGATTGTTGCTTATCTAATTGGGTGTATCCTTCAGAAGCTCAGGATGAAATCTCTCTCTCTCTCTCTCTCTCTCTCCTTTTCCTCTCAGTCCTCGGCAGGATAAAGTTGAGTTGAGAGAGGGTGATTATTCAGCTGTGGAAACCTCGAGCTTTGATCTCTGCAATTTAGTCTATCATTAACCAATACACTGATTTGCATTTTATTAGATGCACAAGCTTGCAGGTGAAATGTCTAATGGACAAAACATGCTTTGAAAGGCATGAAACATGAAAAGATGACACAAAGGCAAAAAGCGCACATTTTGACTTACTGCTCAACTAACCTTGGAACCTTCCAAGGTTGCAGAGTTATTAGGCTGCTTGTCAATCAGGCTTAAAAGTTGATGGATATTGTAGAAGGAGATGAAGGAATTCAAATTCTATATAGAAAATTGCCTTGTGCAGTAAGGCTATTAGACATTTACTTCTGTAATTTATACTGACATGCAACAACTCTGCTGAATTTCGAACAGAAATTTCTCACAACACTAATTTAAAGGTATCAGAGACTAAACTGAGGAGCTTTTGCATGCCATAGATATACTGTGAAAAATGTAGTTCAAGTTGAGCTCAACTCCTAATTTCATGGGCCATGTCGTTATTTTGACAGAAATATGGAAGTGGTTTGTCACTGCCTCCTTCAAAGAAATTTTGACTTTCCAATCCCATCTTACTGACTCATATGCCCGATTCTATCTAGGCTCTGTCCTTCTCAAACCACACTGAGAAAAAAGAACCACTACCACATTTAGTTAGTATAACTGAATTTTAAAACGTCACAACTGTTTTGTAAAACACAAAAGGCTTTTGCACTAATCTATAACCTTAAACTAGAAAAGCATGAATATAAAAGACAACTGTTTTTTTAAAAGCTAAGCTGCAATGGATTTTGAGAGCAGAAAGGACTATTCTCCATTGTCTTTTGCATATTAGAGATCTATTCATCATAGATTAGCACTGAGATAGACTTTTATATGACATTTGATAATCATCGCTCCATATTCTTAATATCAAGTACCTTGGAGAGAACCTGCATATCTCAAAGTTCAACATCATGGACAAATAAAATTTTACTGGTGAATATTGGCAAGAAGCCATTAAAAACTAAATTCAGTTAATAGGATATTGAAGTTTAATTAGAAACCAAATTCTATATTCTGTTCTATTCACTATTAAATTTCAGTATTTTGTTGTTGTTGTTGAAGCTCTGTATACTATAACTATGAAGGCTATATGCATATAGGGGTTAAGCAACCAGTTTTATTATGTATCCATCTAAAAACCTAAGCTATATTAAGAAAATAACCAGACGCCTTATGATGCAATGCCAGTTTACAGTCAAGTTAAAAATATAAAGTTGAATGTTGTGACATTTCAAGTGAAGAAATATTTTTAAGCCTTAAAAAAGGACAGACTTCTTCTAACTCAGCCAAATAGTGGCATAATTAAACAGAATTTCCTTGTATAAGTCATTTAAAAGTGTACTGATTTATCTTTCCTGAGTTTCCAAGATATCCTCATTACCTATCTGCAGTTGGAATTTATAGTGCTCTCCCAATCAGAGGCAACATTACTCATCTCAAAATGATAGATATCCACACACAAACACACTTCTTTGTTCAAATAGTACTGCCTTGCTTCCTTACTTTCTTCTCCCAGCTTTGAAATCTGTTGTTATACTCTTTACAAAATTTAATATATACTTCAATACTCTTGCTGTTATAAAAACTAAAACAAAGTCATCCATCAATGTACAATTAAATCTTTTACATTTTTCTGAATCTTACAGTCAAACTGCAATGCTTCAGAGTACAGTCATCTGAAAGTATTTACATTAAAAAAAATCCAACACCATAGCTATAAAAAGAACGTCCTCTGAAATACAATACAGTGTATAACCTCATTCTTAGACAATTCAGTGACAATTACTTGCAAGTATGTTTAGGACAGGGCTTTTCAACCAGTGGTACGGGTACCACCTGTGGTACATTGGCACTTGGCAGGTGGTACGCAACCATCCTAGAAAAGTAATGTGGGAGGGAATGAGCTGAACTGGTGGCAGCACCGCACAAGCCTGAGTGAGAGATGGCTGGAGCTGCAGGGCTGTCAGGGCTCAGCGGAAGCACTAGGATCAGCGCCAGGCTCCAGCTGGAGCTCGGCGCTGATCCTGGCACTTCTGCTGAGCCCAGAAGAAGCGCCGATCAGCCGGAATGTTGCAGCCTCTCCAGGGTCTTGTGATTTACATTCAGATGCTTGACAACTGATTCATATTTATGACGGTCACAGTGTCCCAGGGTCATGTGAAGTGACCAAAACCTGCTGCAACCACCCAGCAGACAGGGGGGGGGAATAAAAACCAAACACTCCCCTACCCCACCCCCACTGCCAATCCCCAACAGAAATGCTCACAACAATGAAAACCTTGGATAGGAGGAAGAGCGCGGGCGGGCAGGCAGGTGTATTGCTTGGCTGTGGCTTGGGGGGCACTTTTTTAGTGCCATTGTAACTTCGAACAGTCACTAAGTGAACTGTTATAAGCCGAGGACTACCTGTACTTTATCACTTTTTTCCTCTTTTTTTTTTTGGTCATCAAGTTTTTGACACCTTGCTAGGCGACTGGTGGTACTCGGATGTTGCCATATCCTAAAAGTGGTACAATGGGTGAAAAGGTTGAAAAGCCCTGGTTTAGGACAGCAGAATGATTGATACAAAGAGAACTTGATTTTAGAACTCAAAACTTTTACTTTTAAGGTAGGCTAACTATTGTAACACATAAATCATAAAAAATCATTCCTAGATTTAAACAGCTAAATTTATTTTTTATTTAAAGAAAATAGCATGCTTATTGCTTTATAAATAGAAAATTGCCTTTCAGAATTGTAAGCTAATAGAAGATTCAGATTTTAAAATTAATGCACATAGTAGGGAAGTCCATCAGTTAAGAAATAATGGTGAGTCACAGTTTCATTTTCAAATAATCTGAATATTTAGGAGAATTAACTAATTCTATTAATAGTTTTATTATTGCTGCCTAATTTCAGGATAATTAGCAAAAAATGGAACAGCATTTAAAACAGCAAGAGGTTCTGAATGATACAGTTGAAAAAGACTAAAATCATCTTCATTTTTGTGTACATAGTAATAGAACCAAATCAATTTAGAAATAGAGGTAGGCCCAGGGGGATGGAAATGGATCCCTCTGTTAAAGTACTGAAGTTTGCAGATGATACAACAGACATTGGTCTCATTCGAGATGATGATAAGTCTGCAAATAGGAGGTTGAACACTCTGGAGCTAAACACACTTAAAACTGTAAGATATGATAGGAGAGACCTCCTATTCTACCACCTCTTACTATATTAGACAACAGTGTCAATCACAGAGTTCTTCAAGTTTCTGGTTCTACAATCTCACAGGATTTGAAATGGACGCCTAACATTAGAACCACCATTAAAAAGACACAGCAAAGAATGTTCTTTCAGCATCAAGACAGAAACCTCAGACTGCCCAAGGTTCTGCTGATACAGTTCTACAGAGGAACTATTAAGTCTGTCATTTATACTTTTATAACTGTCTGGTTTTGGTACAGCAGTTTTAGAACTGCAGAAAAATATTATAACCAGCCTGCCTTCCATTAGGACAGTGATGGTGAACCTTTTAGAGACCGAGTGCCTAAACTACAACCGAAAACCCACTTATTTATCGCCGGGTGCCAGATGGGCGTGGCCCACTGGATGGACATGGCTGTGGTGGTCATGGCAGATTGGATGGGTGTGGCCAAAGTGGGTGTGATCACCTCAATGTTGCTCATGGGGAGGGATGCCTGTGGGGGCCGGGCAGGATTGGGGGAGATCAAGGGGGTCTCTGGCAGGTGGGGCGGTGGGCAGGAGGTTCATCCTGCGGGGACAGGCGAGGCAAGGCGAGGCAGGGCGGGGTGCCATTGTCACAGGGCAAGGTGAGGCAAAGGCCAGGGCGGCTGCTGCCTGACACCATCGGCCCCTGCACAGAGGCCAGCGAGCGCATGGGTGCTGGGATGCATCCAGCCACATGGGACCACGGTGAGTTAGCGAACGGCGGGTTGAAGAGGGACGGTTGTCATCTCCGGGGCATGGCGCACGTGCCCAGAGAGGGCTCTGAGTGCCACCTCTGACATGCGTGCTGTAGGTTCGCCACCACTGCATTAGGAACTATATACTGCACAGGTCCGAAAGAGGGCTGAGAAAATATTTACAGACCCCTCACATCCTGGACTTAAATGTTTCAACTCCTTCTCTTGAGACACCTCTATAGAGCATTCCATGTCAAAACTAGTTTTTTCTTTTGCCATCACTCTACCAAACACCTAATTCCCACAGTACTGCCTTATGTCTATTTAACAATGTAGTGTGGTTGTATTACTTTTAGCCTTCTCATCTGTTCCACTACCTTGTTATTCTGATTATTATTACTTTGATATTATGATTATTATTACTTTGTTGTTTTGCATGTACTCTCAGAACTTATGCACTGGAGACAAATTCCTTGTGTGTCTATCACAGTGATGGCGAACCTTTTAGAGACCGAGTGCTCAAACTGCAACCCAAAACTCACTTATTTATCGCCGGGTGCTAGGTGGGTGTGGCCCACTGGGTGAGCATGGCTGTGGTGGTCATGGCAGACTGGGTGGGTGTGGCCAAGGTGGGCATGGTCACCTTGATGTTGCTCGTGGGGAGGGACACCTGTGGGGGCTGGGCAGGGTTGGGGGAGATCCAAGGGGTCTCTGGCAGGTGGGGCAGTGGGCAGGAGGCTCGTCCTGCAGGGTGAGGCAAGGCAAGGCAAGGCAGGCGGTGGTGCCATTGTCACAGGGCAAGGTGAGGCAGGGGCTGGGCAGGCTGCTGCCTGACACCATCGGCCCCCGCACACAGAGGCCAGGGGCCGACAGTGTCTGTCAGCAGCCACACCCTGCCGGCCCCTTGACTGGCGCACTCTAGGGCTCCGCAGCTCACCAGCAGCAGTTCAGAGAAGCTGCCTCTGAGCTGGATGGCCTGCCAACAGCTGAAGCGGCAATGCAGTGGGAAAAGGAGAGCGTGCAAGGCCAGGAGGGATGGGACGGAAATCAGCCATGCTGGGATGCATCCAGCCACATGGGACTTCAGCAAGTTAGCGGGCAGCTGGTTGAAGAGGGACAGTTGCCATCTTTGAGGCATGGTGCGCGTGCCCACAGAGAGGGCGCTGAGTGCCATAGATTTGCCACCACTGGTCTATCACATTTGGCCAATAAATTCTATTCTATTCTATTCTATTCTATTCTATTCTATTCTATTCTATTCTATTCTATTCTATTCTATTCTATTCTATTCTATTCTATTCTAAAGAATAAATCATCAGAGGTTTTTAAAAGCAATTTATTTGCTACCTGTATTTTTGCCATTTTCTTTCCTTCAGAATGAAGGAAATAATGAATTCTTGAGGTTTTTCTTTTCATTTATTTGGATCAACTTAGTGTTTTTTATCCTTTTTAGTATTAATTTTATTTTATTGGAAACATTAAAATATAAATTCCAAAAAAGGAAAAAAATACAAACACAAAACAAAACTTGGTAAGTCTACACAAAAAATGTGCATAAAAAGTAAACAAAAAACAGACATTACCTAATACTGATAAATATATTTCAGATATTACACCTTCTATCCCCTTCTAAAGTAGGCACACAATTTATACATTTCTACAACAGTTTACCCAACTCACTTGGCCTGACATCTATTTACTATATGGGAACATAGTTAATAGGTAAAACCAACAGCTAAATTAAACTTCAAAACCCTCACCTAAAAGTCTAGCAGAAAGTCCACAACAGCTTCTGATCTATCATAAATCACCACAATCATTGTCTCTGGTCTGCTAGGATCAAATATTCTCAATTGATTCTTAATAAGGCTTTTCCTTAAGATATTAAATGGGATCTTTCCTAAGTTGATTTTATTCCCCAAAGTCATAAGTCTTTGTTGTGTATATCTCCAACAGTATTTGCTGTTCAAAAGTCAACATCTCTTAACTTCTTTTCTGACTGAATATAATAAACCATTCTCCAATTTCCATCAATCTTCTTGAGAAAGTCGAGTTCATCCTTGGAAAATTCTATTAACTTTGCCTTTACAATCCATACCTCCTAAGTAACTTGCATTTTCCAAATCAGCTTCATCCTTCAGGTCTGCCGGCAGCAAATTACATTCCTATCCATCTGATACAACTGCTGTTGCATTTGGTTACCTTCTTCGAGGTGGTTGAATATTTTTATCCAAATATTCAAATTGGGCTTGTAAATTGAAAAGTATTCTTTTTTCCGAACTTTCCCCAAAAGCTTTGTCTTATTGTTTGTATTTTGACTATATTTTGATATAGTCTACGATACTTCAATAATTAAACTTTTGCAGCTGAACTTTTACAGCCAATCATACAAAGCTCCTCTGAAAAACAGGAAAAGCATCATGCAAATTAGCCTTGAAAAACATTGAAAAGAACTTTCCCAGCATAAAAAAGAGAGATTTTCATCAATTTTCTTTTAAAAATTAAGACCGGACTTTTAAAAAAATTATAAAGTATGAAATCCTTATAGTGAAAGTTTCATACAAACGTAAAAATCAGATCTTTTTCACTACCCAGAGTCTGCTATGTCTCATGTTAACTAGTCATTAACATTTAAAAGTAAAAATCAAAAAAGAAAATATCAAAACATGCTGTTAAAACCTAGGCGTTCTTAAGGCAACAGGCAGCTGGTAGGAAAAGATGGAGGCCCAGCCCTCTGACCACTCCCATTGAAAATTGCAACTTTCTAGGCCCTCTTCTCAGGTAGGTCCACAGTCATCTGAGGGACATTTTGGGCCATTCCTAGTAGCTCTCATTCAAATCCAGGAAGCGTACTGCCAAAGAAACCAGCTATCTGTTAGCAGGGGAAGAAAAAAAACCCTGCTGATTCAGAAAGCCATCTTGGAGGCAGTGGTGGTGGTGGTGGTAGATCAACTAAGTGTTGATCCATTGGCTGTTGCAGGAATTGAATGAATGGCTTCTCTCCTGAGCATGACGTCGAAAGCTGAGAGTGAGACAGTAAATGACTCAAAGTCATCAAGCTGGCTTTAATGGTTAAAATAAGATTAGAATTCACAGTCTCCTGGGTTTTTAGTCTCGTACCATAAATACAGTAATAAAAAAGAGAAAATGGTATAATGCTGATTTAGAAAATTTATAGATCACAATTATATTTTAAAATCCAAAAAAAAGGCACTTGAAGTTCAGAAACCTGGAGGAACTGAGTTTTAAAAAAATTAAGGGAAAATACTGGTAATTTACAACACAACTTCAGCAATACCAAGTCCAGAATTACTTTTTTATAGCTCTCCTTGAATATATATTGCATAAGCAAGCCTATTAGACTCTGTCACCTGGCTTGTTTCCTGTATGCAATTCAAATTACAGTCTAATTTGATTTAGAAAAAAGACCTCTAAATATTCAAAGATCAACTATTATAAAAAATTCTTTTCACAAGAATAAAAATGGAAAAACCAACTTCAATTGAAAACACCTTATTGTAAAATTAATTTACTAGAACTGTATAATTACATAATAGGCAAAATGATTTTTAACTAATATATAGATTGGTAATCTTACAATTACTATATCTTCTTGAGATATAGATTGAAGGCCAACTCAATTAGCCCTCTTTTAATTTGGATACCATGAAAATCAGCAAAGTAAAACAAAACATCCACTATTGATAGTTTCTCGGGAGCACAAAACTTGGTATTTCTTTGCAACTTGACCATTTACTAAATGATGATGTGGAAGTACATTGTAGTCCTCCCCCATCAAATTCCCAGAAGACTTGTCATGGCTCAGGGAAAAGGGAATGCAGGAGAGAAAGAGCAATACAGGTAGTCCTTGACTTAGGACAATTGAACCCCAATTCATGTTGCTAAGTGAGATATTTGTTAAGCGAGTTTCGCCCTATATTACAACTTTTCTTGCCACAGTTGTTAAGTGAATCATTGCAGATTTTAGTTAGTAACATTAAGTGAATCTGGCTACCCCATTGATTTTGCTTGTTGGGTCACAAAAACTGATCACGTGACTGATCACATAAACATGAACCAGTTGCCAAGCATCCAAATATTGATCATGTGACCAAGGGGATGCTACAACAGTCCTCGGTGTGAAAAATGGCCATAAGTTACTTTTTTCAGTGCCATTGTAACTTTGAACGGTCACTAAACTGTTGTAAGTCAAGGACTACCTGTATATTAGCACCAAACTACACTTCTTCCTCATTAGTTTTTAGACTATAGTGAAGACACAATCTGCAGCTAAATACTTTAATCTTTAACCCCGGCCTATAGCTATAATGAACATATACACAAGTTGAGCTCATTTTAAAAGTATACTGATATAGAAATCCACAAACAGTTACAGGGAACCAGAAACCCCTCAATGTGCATCTAAAGGATTGAGGATTTGCCTCAGAAATTTCAGGAGTTGTTCTCTGAAACTCCAGTTACAGATGCTCTGCTTATAGTTCTTTTGAAGTTCCACTCAGCAAGATTCTTTGCTATGGAAATGTACAACTTCATGTATCAAGAGCATTACCTAATGTTTGGAAAGATTACCATTAAAGCATTTATGTTTTCATAAACAAGTCAAAGTCCTTGTAGAAGATCATTCTGCTGTAATATACTGTAGGCAAATTTAGTTTCAAACAAAAATGTTAAAATTTAATAATATGCTCCAGTATTTTATAGAGTAGCTATGTAAAGAGATCCAGTATTGAACTTCATCACTATCAAACAAAATTTGTTTGATTATATGGATTCCAGGAGATCACTAAGGATGCTATATAAACAAAAAAATCAGAAAAACTGAATGGCTGTGTTCATGTAGTGTGACTAAGTTTTCTTTGTCGGAGTGGGTAGCGTCTCTGTGGAGAGCATGATGATCTCTTTATTTTGAGTAGAATAGAATTACCGCTAGCAGTTTGTGAAGGTATAACTTCCACTTGTGATGTAAGGTTTTTGACATCATTTTTATCCTCTTTTTTAACTTCAGAACCAAACATGATTTCTTGATGGAGTCTGCATTGTTCCAAAGTTTGTTGTAAAGACAATGCTTTTGAGAAGCCTTCTGCTCTTTCTACAAGGGATGACAGCGACTGGAGATGGCAAGAGAAAAACAAAAATAATTCCAGGTTATTCAAATTGAGCTACTATATCCCGGAAGTATTACAATTCCTAAACTGCTTTGATGAATTTTAGTAATAGTACACTAAACATTAATTCATATGTGCTATTTATTACAAACCTTCCGTAATATCGCTTTGCAATTTCAGTACACATTTAAAAGGACTGAAATTTTGGGAGTTGTAGATTCAAAACATACGTAGATGACACTACGTAAGGCAGACAAATTCTGAATAAATCTATTCAGTTGAAAAATAAGAGACCTCTACTGTCTTTTTCTTAAAACAGTTAATGAATCAGGTTTTCACAAGTGTCCTATAATATTGCTTAACAATAAGTTAAAGTTAGGAATCTGTAAATCTATGCATTCTCTAGAAATGGATATTTGGAGAATACCACCAACCACTTCCTATCCTGGAAAATACACTTCTGGAAAGAAAGACTTTCTAGAACTAGCATATCATTGCATTCCAGGGAGCAGTGAAACATTTGAGAACTGGAATGTGTAATTTTTCACAGTTATGTTTCTAGATCATGAATGCTATTAACTTGGACCAGACTTTGTAGTAGTTAAAACTGACTATCTTAAATTAGTTGGAGTTGAGTCATTAATGCATGACCCATTATGTCAATTAATCAACTAATACAATCCATAATATCTTTAGAAACCTCACCTTAAATGATTCTCCAGTATGTCTAGACAAAGTTTTTGTTGAAAGTCTCAGTTCTACCATAGACTGATCTGGAAAAAAAAAAAAGATTCATGTATTCTCTTACAAGATAAACCAAGAAAAACATCAGTCTGCTGCATTGTAATGTAAAAGAGAGAGAGAGGAAATGATATTGAGATAGTATCATGGGCCAGCTTCTATTCCAAAGAGGGTATTTTATTCAACATCGAAAAAGAAAAGTTCCAAAATTGTAAAAAATACAAATGTTTTGTGGACCATGTTATTTCATTCTGCAATTTACTATCAATTTATTTTTTGATAAGGAATCATATACTGTGACATTCAATGCATTAAATATACAATCATTTCTGAAATACATCTGAAACATGAAAACTAAAAATAAACCCTTTCTCTATCACATACTGGTATACAACTACTCATATGATATAGTGAGATTCTAAGGAACTCAGTTAGGGATAATTCATTCAAAATCCATATTCAGCATGCAATTTAATTTACCATTGCTTTAGATCGGTCAGATCTCCTTATAATCGAAGTCATACAGTGTTGCAAAGGGATGACAGAAAAATAGCTAAATAAACTAATCAGAACTCCATGGAACAAATAAATGATTGCAGTGTAAAACAAACAGAAAAACAATAGGAGATTTGTAAATAAATATTGCCTTCCAGGATTTCAATCCCTAAACTGCCAGCTTCCTCCACAAATTTCTAATATGTACAGCTGGGTGTATAATAAAAGCTCTTGTGTATTGCAATTTCATAGTATTTTTCAACAAAGTTATCCAAAGGAGTAAAAATTTTCAAGTTGCTATTAATTATCCCATTTAGCTTAATATTTAGTTTAAAACCATATTTTAAAAGATTTTCTGATAGAAACCTCTGAAATTAAACTGTTACACATATATACATATATATTTATACTGCTGTAAACTATTATTCTCCTATTCTTCCAAGGACAAATTATCAAATATCATAAATGCTAATTTCCAGTAAATCAACAGACATGTCTTTTCTTCTTGCAGCTCCTGAACCCTAATAATCAGAATTCTGAAAGGGAAATTCCTAGAACTATTTAATCCAAAACTGCATAAATCCTAGATTAATCTATCTGGAAAACACTGTGCTGAATTCTAAACTGTACATCAGTAATAAAGAACAGTAAATAGTAATTGTATTATAATCTCTATTAAAAGAGATGATATAAAGTACAGGTAGTCCTCGACTTAAGACCACAATTGAGCAGAGAATTTATGTTGCTAAGTGGGAAATTTTTAAAGTGAGTTTTGCCCCATTTTATGACTTTTTTGCCACATTTATTAAGTGAATGTAGCTATTAAATTAGTAGCTATTACTGTAGCTATTAAATTAATAACACGGTTAAGTGAATCTGGCTTCCCCATTGACTTTGCTTGTCAGAAGTTTGCAAAAGGTGGTCACATGACCCTGGGACACTGCAACCGTCATAAATGTGAACCAGATGTCAAGCATCCAAATGTAAATCACATGACCATGGAGATGCTGCAATTATCATAAGTATGAAAAATGGTCATAAGTCACTTTTTTCAGTGCCGTTGTAACTTTGAATGGTCATTAAATGAACTGTTGTAAGTCAAGGACTACCTTTATGTCCTGATTATAACTGCAAAGCATAATATACATTGAGGTTCTTAATGCAATTATATACAAGTTTTGAGGCCACAGTGAACCTTGAAGCTTTCTCTTTATATTTCTTAAAAATCACCCATATGAAATTGTCTACTTCTATACTGCTACTATATGCAGTAAATAAGAGCTAGAACAGCATATAGGTTAACACAAGTCTTCTAAAAACTTCACAATACCATATGTTCCAGGAAAAAGGAAGGAATAATCAAGCAAGTAAATTTCTAAGTTAGCTAAGATTTTCCATGTATTTGTGACCTAGGACCAATCTACATGTTAAACAAATACAAAATCACAAAATCAGTTTTGACTCACAAGTAACCTTTCTCAACTCAAAAAATTTGGGAAACCATTCTTCAGGTAAAGACAAATGAGCACACATTCAAGCAGTGTATCTTGAGCAATGCTCAGCTCTAGGAAGACAATGGCAAATTACTTCTGAAATCTTGCCAAGAAAACAGTAGAGACTAGTTCAGACAGCCACCAGGAGTCAAAGACACAATCCACCTCCCCAGCCCCCCCCCCCTGCAATTTTCTTCACCAGCTATACTTGTTTCTTCCTTCTATGGAACAATATCTTGTTTATTTTGCAGGAAGACCCTCACTGGGGGTGTGGTTCAAATTTTGAATTCAAAATTTTCATAAGCTGAAAAAGCTCACTGCTGTGAGATAAGCAGCCATATCAATTATTCAGAATAAATATATAGACAAATAACCCTATGGCCACACCCAATGCTCTTTTTTAGCCCTTTAAACTTTGTTGATCACTATACAGTCCCCCCTCCAGCCAATATCAACAAAAGCAAATTTTTGCAAATAGTTTCATGTTAGTACTACTTTTTGCAGATACAATTAAAATGTATCTAATAAAAAAGGTTAAAGCTAGAAAAAATATAATGGAAAGCCTCCAGGACCATATAATTCTTTGCATGTTAGCTTTATTGATCCTAGGGTGGTGTTTTCTCATGTAATGCCTATTTTCACCGTTCTGGTTTCCTCAGTTTCCAGTTTTGCTTTCCCAAGCGTCTGTGTGATGCTCCTGCTTTTGCTCTTTGAATCTCTTTCCCAAATCTAATTTCTATTTTCCTACTATAACTGGCCATAAGTGCACAATCTAGCTGGGTGACCATGGGCCAGTCACTCTTTCTCAGTCCTAGGAGGAAGGAAATGGTAAACCACTTCCAAAATATTGTCCAGAAAACTGCAGAGACTTATCCAGGTATTTGCCAGGAGTCAACACTGACTCAGAGGCACATTAAAAAAGGAATCCAAATATAAAAATAAAAATCTTCACTCTCTTTACATATGCTACCTTTTATATTAGAAAGTCATTGAGCTAAGAACTGTCCTCTTGAACTTTCTAAAACTCTTGTGAAAACTGAAAGTATCATAACATTAATAAATTCTTTCTGGATGACTTATGGTCAACTTGACTGAACTTGGACAAGTAATTGCCCTTTACTTCTGCATTCCACCTGTAAAATACGAATAATGGGAAGAGTTACAGCACACTATATATTGTAAAACCATTACAAAACAACTGCTTGCAAGTTTTTCTAAAGTTGATTTACCTCATTTGAAAAGAAATTGGATTATTCCCATCAATCTACTCCAATAATCCTTATTTGTTTGCCCTGGCAGAATATTACACAACTGTACATCAGAGAACTATTTAAAAACTTAGATGTTCACACTGCTTCCAAAACATGGGAAATGAAACAAGGAAATGAAAGCTCATAATTCTATCTTTCGTTTCTGGTGACTGTAGTTACTGCACAGGGATAGATGCAAATTCCAAACTGTGCAAATAAATTCATTCACAATATATCTCCACAATGTTTTCCTAAACGTTATTTCCACTTTAGATTTTTTTAAAATATGTGATTGATCAAATAGTTTTACTTTACAATCTAACCAGCATGTGGAACTTGTGGCACAAATTTGTATGAAATAATTCTTCATTGCAAATAAATTACTACAGCAATGTTTTCAAGTTAGAAGAAATGCTGCCTGAAGACAAGTTAAACTTGATAGTAAAATGCCATGTCTACCTTAGTAAGTATGTGATTAGCTAGTCATATGTTATGCTAAAAATAAAATGAAATAGCAATATGATTGTTTTTACTATTTTTTACTGCTATATTTGACCTACTCCACATTTTCATAGCCTTATCATAACATGCATTCTTGCTAGTAACATCTAATAAAATGGTATAATTTACCGTTTTTTATGAAGCAATAAAATTAATATTGGTCAAAGTTAAGTTCAGCTCTCCACATAGTCCCAGTTTTTCATGTGGTCCTTTGGGAAAATTAATTGCCCATCCCCCGGTCTAAGCATTATGACCTGGAAAGTGGTAAAATTAAGACCATAAACTTTATATGGCATTCTGTTTTTTCCTGCAAAGCATTGCATCCAAAATCATAGGGGTTTTTTTTTAACCTTAAGTCGTGTTTTTTTAGTCAGAGTTCTGTGAGAGCATGACTAAAAAAAAAATAAGCATCACTGTTTGAACTTTGGACACACAATGCTAGTGCTCATAGTGATTGGTGGTATTTACATACCCCAACTTAGCTGCTAGCCTGCCACTTTGCTGTTCTTTTAACATTGCAAATTGTGGACACTATAGGCTAAAAGTGAATTTTATTGTGAAGTTTTTCTATTTTTCACAATTGTTATGCAGGGGTTCTAAGACCAGAACATTATTTCAAGGGTTTTTCCAGGGTTAGAAAAGGCTGTCTTAGAGACTTTGTACGATATGCTTTTTTTCACTAGAATTCACATCAGATGCATAAAATGTTTCCCTAAATTGCCAGATTTTATCTCCTCTCCTCCCTCCCTCCCTCTCTCTCATTATATTTGTAAGAACAGATAGTTATGGAGTATTTAAAACATATAATTGCTATATTTTATGAAAAGAAAGGAAGCACATCATTCAGAAAATTACCTTGAGAAGGTTCAACTTTTATGTCTTGACAGTTCACAAAAGGTTGATAGCCCTACGTATACAAAAAAAAAAAATACATTCAAAATCTCTTTCCTTTCCTTTATAACTTCTAAAATGTGACTTAATTCATGGTTAAAACATTTGAATCTTAAGCAAATAAAAATTTTTATCTATATACGTATATGTAATACATCTCTGTAAAAGCAGCCATTATTTGATTTGTAAATTTAGCAAAAGCAGGTTTTGCTGTCTCATCACATACAGGCAGTCCTTTCCTGCTTTAGCAGGGGGTTGGACTAGAAGACCTCCAAGTCCCTTCCAATCCTATTATTCTGTTAAGTCCTCACTGGTCATACAGTCACCTTCTGAATTTGCTGAACAAGGGGCACTTATGGCAGATCTTCGTAGTTGCGGCCACTGCAACGTCCCCACGATAACAGGATAGCAATTTGGGTGCTTGGCAACTGGCTTGCAATTATGATGTTGCAGTGTCCCACAGCCACATGATTGTCATTTATGACTTTCACTGCTAGCTTTTGTCAAATAGAATCAATAGGGAAACTGGCAGGAGGTTGTAAGTGGCAATCATATGATGACAGGATGCTGTGACCACTTAGGGTTCACCTAACAGAGGCAACTGGAACTACTGTCATAGTTACAATCACACTGCTTAGTCACAGAGTTCCATTGGTAAGGGAGGACTACCTGTAGTAATTAGGTGAGTCAAATGCTGCTATTACATTTTACATTCTAATCTAAATAATCAAAGTTCTATATTATCAAACTTTACAGCAATTGGGATAACTAATAAAACAGCGCCCCCTGCTGCAAGACTTAGGATAAGCTAGATTTCTTATTTTAAAAATACTGACTTTTATTAAAAAAATGTTATCAGTGATTGTAAGTAACTGAACAGCCATCTTACTGGTTTCCTGAAAATGTTTTACAGATATTTTTCTTTTACTCAAAACCTTTTTTGGGGAGTTCTGTATTTTGTATTTTAATCTTGTTTGAAACAAAATAAAAATATATTTAAGAAAAAGCTGCAAAGCAAGTGTTCTCAAACTCAAACTTATGCATTGAGAAAGCCAATAAGACAGAACTAGAATGCGTGTCTGCCCCAAAACAAATAAGCTCATAGGCAGAAAGGGGGAAATGTTAGAAGGCACCTATACAATGGCACATATATGTCTTGGCTATAGATTATAGAAAGAGCAATAATAAGCAGAAGAAAGGGTTTTTTAAAATAATAATTCAGATACTGCAGGACATGCTGCTGTAGAGAACATCACTTGGTTAACGTTCAGTGGAGTAGAGTCTGCCAAGTACAGAGATACTGGTCTTGGGACAAGGAAGATCAGGAAGAAAATGCTGGACTGATTTGAAAGAGTGTGGAAAGACCAGGAGGAGAGACCGTGATGTGTGTTTGGAGATTCAGAAGCAAAATAGTGGAACTATGTGAATTAACGCCTTTGTTTGGTAGCAAAGAGCTGGAAAAAAACTCACAGACATTCCAGTCTCAATAATTAAGATAAGGAGGAGAAGAAAAAGTCATAATACATAACAGAGTACAAATGAACAGTGAAAGAAAAAGACTTGAGAGGGAGGAAAGTTAACTAGGTTAAGATTTGATTTATTACTGTATATTCTTATGAACATACTGATTTTGTAAATATTTTCACTTGTGTAATACTAAATCACACTATTTTATTAGCATAGAAATCACGTCTTGCTTACAATCACTCACACCTTTCCTATGGATTACTATAATATGCTCTATATGGAGATGCAAAATGTGCCTGTGTAAGCACTTATGTGCACCCCTTGATTGGGCTATGTTACTCTTCTCCCTGTGGATTGCTAGAACATGTGCAGTAGCTATATTTAATCCTCTGGGTGGATTATATATATTTATTGCTTTACATTGTACTTTTTGCTACTTTTATATTGTTTTTGACTGATTGTGAATTACCCAGAGCCATGTAATAAAAGGGGTGGCTATATAAAACTGATAGTGTCCACAATAAAAATCTTTAAGTACTGGCTGTATGTGTGTCTATATCAGGGGTTCTCAACCTTGGCAACTTTAAGACTTGTGGACTTCAACTCCCAGAATTCCTCAGCCAGCAAAGCTGGCTGAGGAATTCTGGGAGTTGAAGTCCACAAGTCTTAAAGTTGCCAAGGTTGAGAACCCCTGGTCTATATCATCTCCTATCCTGAACCACTCTCCAATAAGCATCCTTTTAAAGCTTTAAGTAGGCGTATGTATTTCCCTGCATCACAATAATTTATGACAGATTTTAGTGATCACAATATTACCTCACCTTAATAATATATTAAACTAGGCTCATAAACTATAATCTGATATTCACGGACATCTGCTATTGTAGTAAACAAAATCATTATCTGATTCTCTCAAAGTAAATATTTTCATCCAATGACTTAAGAATTAAAATTACTCACCAATAATTTTTGTTGCATTTTAATGCCTTTAACAACATTTATTTGCATTTTTCTAGGATACTGACTACGCTTGGAAGCCACTTCCACAATTAATTCGTCAAGCTGATCTTCAAGGAGTTTAATATCTGTGTCTGTTTTACAACAAAATAGAAATATTTAATATTTGAAAAGTATAGTATGCGGATATATTTTTAACTTCAATTGGCATAGAAAGAATACATATATCATCATCTTCAGCAAAGATACATGAAAGTATAATGAGAAGGGAAAAGATTTATTATAGTAAAATTTTTATTCATTATTAAAATTAAAATTGTGAAACAAATTTGAATTTATGTTAAATGACAAACTGTATGATAAACCGATAAAAAGCAAACAAAAAAAATTACAACTAATGATTTACTGCAGAAATTATTGCCTAGAAACAGACTAGTTCAGTGGTGGTGAACCTATGGCAGGCGTGCCAGAGGCGGCACTCAGAGCCCTCTCTGTGGGCACGCATGCTGTTGTCCCAGCAGAGTTCATCAGAGTAGCGAGCACGTGGCGTTTGGAAGTGACAGGGCAGGAAGTGAGCAAGCAAGCGGCGTTGATCCCCCGGGGATGCCCCGGAGATGGAGAGGGACTGGCCCCGGCCACGCTCACCCAGTCTGCCATGACCACTGCAGCCTCACACCCCCTGTGGGCCACGCCCCCCACCCCCCTGAGGGCACCACAATGCTGATGCAGCCCTGGCACTTTGCGATAAATAAGGGGGGTTTGGGTCACAGTTTGGGCACTCAGTCCCTAAAAGGTTCGCCATCACTGGACTAGTTTCTTGACATAAATCATTTTAACTGAAAAAGGAACAAAGAATCATATCCAACAAACTGATTGGAACTCTTCTCCAAGTGAAAACAAAAATATAGGTACAGGTAATCCTCACTTAATGACCACAATTGGTAATGGAATCTCAGTCATTGAGCAAAGCGGCCATTAAGTGAAATGCCCGTATGACTGCTTCATTCAATGACTGCACTTCCACTTGTAGTTATTAACCTGCCTCCTAGGTTGTTAAGCAGACAGAGTGAAAAGGCTGCATTCTGGCAGATGAAATCCATCAGAAGGCAACCCTTTGGCTCTCAAACATTCCTGCAGCCAGTTATTAAGAAATACAGAATGTTGCACCAAACTGGCTCTGTAAAATTCATCACTGCTAGTTAAAATAAAATAGCAAATTTTTTTTTAAAAAAATCAATAATTCAATTGCAATGAGAAAGGAAATATAGTACAACTTTTCCAGAAACGTTCTAACATTATTCACATCATTTTAAACTAGAGAATCTTATGTAATTATAAACTGTCATCCAAAAACTATAACAGGCCAACAGATGGCAGTAATAGATCCTTTTAATCTGAGAAGACAGGAAAAGAATAGAAATCTTTTTGCATATAAAGTATATGATCTATTATGTTACAGTCTCCTCACCATAAATGTATAACTAATATTTTTGAACCAGACTAACATTACAAGGAATTGTACTACAACAGGGACTGGGTGAATACAGAAAAATACAGGTAGTCCTCGACTTACGACAACTGAGCCCAAGATTTCTATTGTTAAGTGAAACATTTGAGTTTTGCCTCATTTTACGACCTTTCTTGCCATAGCTCTTAAGTGAATCACTGTAGATCAGGGGTGTCAAACTGCTGGCCTGCTGGCTGGACGCGTCATCCAGAAGCGTGCCCACCCCATTGCCGGCAATGGCAAAACCGGCCTGATACGTTGTGCGATGTCACGTGACGTCGTGAGTTTGACATGTCTGCTGTAGATGATCAGTTAGTAACCGAGTTGTTAAGTGAATCTGGCTTCCCCACTGACTTTGTCAGAAGGCCGCAAAAGGGGTTCACATGACCTTGGGACATAACAATGGTAATAAATATGAATCAGCTGCCAAGCATCTGAATTTTGATCACATGATCATGGGAATGCTACAAAGGTCATAACTGTGAAAAATGGTCATAAGTCACATTTTTAGTGCTGCTGTAACGTTATCCGGTCACTAAATGAACTGTTGTAAATAGAGGACCACCTGTAATTATATATAAGATTTTCCAACAGTATTAGTCAAGATTTTTGCATATTAACTCTAAGGATGCTTTTAAATAATATACCATTTTGAAGATTTGATGATTCCTGCCATGGCTGCCCATTAACAGTGATATTCTCTTGTACAGCTGTTTCAAAGTTCTGTACAAAATGTAGAAAAATATAGATATAAATATATAATGTATGAATTCTTAAAGAGATACCTTTAATTGCCAATGCTATATCACAAAATGGACCACTAAGGAATGACATCGATAAACAAAACGTTGATAAACAGCATTCTGATAAAGCACATCCATTCAGCAAAACAAGTCTACAATATTTACAAGCACAATATGATCCCATGTTGATAGGTAAATTACAAGATAGTTCCCAACATTTGGTGCATTCCAACATTCCAGCATTCAGCAACAAGGCTTCTAACACTTTTTCACATTTTAGCAGGATAAACAAGCAGAAGGCATAACAGTATACATATAGAAAAGTCTAACAGGAAAAATATAATTATGGGGAATAAATGCTCATTACAGATACAAGTATTTTTATAAGAAGAAACACGTCAAATTCAACTCTATTAATATATAATCACAAATACCTGAAAAAAACCCTTTGTGTTGCTAAACAGAAAACTCAAGGCAAATTAATGGATGTAATAAGTCCACTGCCCTTTCTGAAACAGAGTAAAATGCCCAGTTCAGATTGTACTTCATATATAGAAAGATACTATTAATTTCTGTCAAGGGAATAATTGCAACTTCTCTTGTTGTCTGTTTCCACAATTAATTATTACCAGTAATTAAGATTTTTCACCAAAAATAAGAGAAAGGAAACTCTGACATGTACTCTAGAGAAAGTACATCCTAACTGGTAGGCAGTCTCTAGAACTCAATAGTCAGAAATTACTTTCTGGATTTCAAAATAGGGTTTTATTTGGGGGGGGGTGTCTGCATACAAAGCTAGCAATAGCAGAGGCATTATCAATTTGAAAATAAGTCTTTTCAGATTTTTATGAACTCATTAGATGACCACAATCCAGCCAGTCTTGACTTACAGTATGCAGAGCATACAAAATTACATTATTTACTATCATAATTACAAAATCTAAACAAACTTACTAAGGAAAGATCACTTAACATGATTTCCAAGCATAATGTAACAAACACATATCAAACAAACTTTTAGAAAAAAAAAACCTTGCATGGTAAATACATGTAAATACAGTACACAACAGCAACTTTCCCTAACAGAATGATCTGCATAGTTTTATCTATTCAATTATTGGCTGTTTTAATGCCAATGTTTTATTTTAAGATTAAGATTAGTGTCAAAAGTGCCAACTTCTACAACAATTTCTGCACTAATTGTGAAATTTCTTCAAGGATGCTTAGCAACCTCCCCCTTGAATCTTTGTTATATATGTAAATTATGTTTCTTCTTATGAAAATATTTCTGTCGCTTCCATATTACTTTTCAATATTTTTACAGCTGATAAATAACTGCTTTTCCTATCTTCACAGAAATCACAAATAAAACGCCTTGCTGTCATACTATATTTAAAAATCAGCAACATTTATGTTTCATTTATAATTTCTGGGGTTTAAGGGTGAAAAGTGGTTAGGAGCCTATCATACAATACATACCGGTGGGAGAGGGATTGTGAAGAGGTCCTGATAGCTATGCTTATTTTAGAAGTTATGCGACAGCTTGTGTGTGCTTCTGACCTCAAAGATACAAGAATCTGAGATGTCCGTTTTCAGCAATCAATCTTTAAGAACGGTGGAAGAGTTATTTGGGGCCAGAGGTTACTCGTCCCCTTACTAAAGAAACTCTAGGGCCAAGAATCAATCCCTATTCAACCAAAGAACGCCCCGCAAACAATTCAATATTTATTTAAAGTCTTCCTCTGATAGAAGTAATCTTAACGAGAAGCAATCAAAATAAACCTGCCGCCATCCCTCCTAGCAGCCCAACTGTCACCACGGCCAAACCATCTCAGTCAGATTCCCCTTACCCAAAGCGCTTCCCCCACAGCCTGTTCTAAGTTCTCGGTCTCAACAGCCTGACCGGCCCCGAGTCTGCGCACGAATGGTCTGCAATGATCCAGCAACTCGGCCGTCCATCGGCGTGAAAGGCACTGCACTCGGGGCTCCTGACGCAGCAGCGGAGGACAACCGGCCGCAGCCCCAGTCAGCTGCAGCGCCTCCATCTCGGCTGCCATTTCCCGCTCTCTTTCAAAGCGTCCTTAACTCCCCCCCACCCGGAAGTAGAAGTAAGTGATCCTCATTTAACGCTTTGCCACCGCGACGGTGGAATTCGGAAATAGGTCCGGGTGGAAACATCGACTGGAACAACTCTAGTTCTGAGTGCCAGGATGGGAGCTGTGGACTGTCACTGCCATCTCGCGGCGCCCGAATTTCAAAGGGTAAGTGGCTTTGGACCAAAGGAAAAAAACACACCACCAAAATCTTTACTAAAAGCTCTTATTAAGTCATCTTAAACCTTTGCAACGAAGTTGCAGGTTTTCTTCATCAGGAAATATTGTTATTTAAGGATTAGGAAGGAATTAGGTTACTGTTTGATATGGCAATGTCTGCCCGAACTTGCCGTCTGAAATTTATTTATTTATTCAATTTCTATACCCGCCCAGCTCAGCCGTCAATGACTCTGGGCGGCTTACAATTCAAAACAAAAATGATTGTTAGGAGAATCTGAAAATATATCTTGTTGGTCCTATGGGGGAGGGGTGCGGTGGGGGGAGGGGGAGAATACGCCAGGGATTTCCCCAAAGATTGCAAGCATTTGTGGATCCTCTGGTTATACTATGGAGGCATCTTCCTGACTCTACTTAAGCATCTCCAATTTAGGGCTGAAATCTGAATCACTTCTAAATGGATACAGTAAATATAGAAAGCCACAGAAGAATCTATAAAAGTTCTAACCAAACTATTCCAGCATATCTGGATAAAGACACAGTAGTCAACAGATTGGAAGAGGTCAATCTACATTCTGATACCAAAGAAATAGTTTATTATATTTTCTTTTTTTCTTTTGGTGTCTTTTTACAATGTTTTTTTTCTTTTTAATGTATTTTTGTATTAAAATTTGTATTTGTTTTATCTGTTCAATATAATCCTTAATAAAAATTGTAGGGGGAAAAGAAAGAAAAGTTAGGCTGCATTACTCTTTATGGGTAGAATGAAAATCTTGGTCCTTTGCAAATATGCTATGTTTAAACATAATGATCTGTCAGCATAATAACATTTTAACCTCTTCCAGGATATTGAACGTGTATTGGAAGATGCAAAAAAGGTTTGTAATATATTTCAGTTGTTATTTTCTCTTTATTAAAGTATAAAAATAGTTACATCTGCATTTGTGTTTTGGAACTTAAGCAGATTGAATGTTGAATGTTCAGTTAGACTAAAGTTCAAAACACTGACTGGTGACATGCAGTTTATTTTAACCAGCCAGATGACTTTGGGCCAGTCATTGTCTCTCAGCCCAAAGTCTGGAGGAGAAAGGAGTATTGCTATGTTTGCTGCTTTGAGGTGTATATGAAAAAAAAGGATAATTTTAAAAAATTGTACGAACCCAGCCCAACCCCTGTGTAAACCATAGGTATGCATGATAGAGTAAGCCTCAGTTTATGGCTTAGTCTATTGCACATAAGAACCCAAAATGTGGATTATTCTTTACAATTAAAACCTCTGTAGTTGGTGCAATGAGCCTGTGAAAGAAGACTGCTAGCCTCTGTTTCTTATGCAGTCATTAGATGTTCAATGTACCATAGAAGTGTATTTGATTGATTCATATATGCTTTCTTATATGTGGCCTGCTCCCTCTGATGGTACACAAAATTCATATCTGGAAAAAGTTGGGCTGATTTGCAAGTAATCTAGAAAGGACACAGATCTGAATGCTAATATATTCAATGTAAAAATGAAGCCTGATGCATACTAAGCAGTGCTTTTGTTTGTTAAAATAGTAAGATTATAGTAAGGTACTGAGAAAAAAAATAGTAAGGTACTGAGAAAAAAAATCAGGAGCCTTTCTTAAAAGTTCTAAAGTTATACTTTATATATTCCAAATATATATTATTTGGGATTCAATATGGTCTCCTGACTTGGTTAGGAGGTTGGACTAGACTAGAATACCTCCAAGGTTCCTTCCAGTCCTTATACTTTTTGGAAAATTGAAAGATGGAGTGCATGGGTGGAAACTGTTGAGGCATGAGACAAATGACCCAGATTGGAACTGGAGCCTAACTTTTATGGTTTAAAGAAGTCTCAAAAAAGAAATATTTTTCCATCTCATCCTTTCCTTAACTATTTTCTGTTCAGCAGAATGAACCTGCAATTCTATGCACAGGTTTTGTGGGACAATCAGAATTGCCATAGAACTAATGTGAGATGCAGAACTTTCCTTCTGTATACTTTCAATACACAGGTTACTTTAGATTCAAATCATTGTACCATAATTTAAAACTTATAATTGCATTCAATTTAATGTGGGAATATTATTTTTAAATAGATTTACTTTGGAACAGTTTTGTGATTTACTGCTTTAATTCTGTGTAATTTATTTCCTATTTCAGTCTAACGTTTTGGCCCTGGTAGTAGTTGCTGAACATTCTGGAGATTTCACAAAAATTATTCAACTTTCAGAAAGGTACTAATGTTTCCAGTCTGTACTGAATGGGATGAAAATAGTTACAGTTTAGGATTTAAAGAATTACCCAGTTAGTTACATCCATTTAATGGGATTTTGGAATAAAGATCTTCATTTGCACTTTTGTCATTCTTTTTCTTTAATTTAAAAATTAAATTGAACTCTGCTGTTGTTCAGTAAATATCTGTGTTCAAAGGAAATGTTAAAAATATATTGAATCTTTGGAGTATTTCTTTGGAGTATTAGATTCACCCACATATTTTACAATGAAATTTTAACAATGTGATGTAATTTGATATAATGTGCAGGAGAACCTGCCAAGAATTCATTTAAGACTAGAGATTAGCACTCAGTTCCACTGATGGATAAATTGGTTTGTTACAGTCCTGAAGATGAAGGACAAGCCTATAAGTAGAGGGAGTGCAACCTCTTTTTATACATTTATGCCAATTGCAATATATATTAAATATTTAATTGGGATATGGCAATATCTGTGTTAATGAGATCAGAAGATGGGAAAATGAGAATTAATAACAGTGGCTTTTTTGAACAAATGGATCTAACCCTGTGCCTGTTAACAGGTTATCTTTTTCTAGATGTTATCAAATGTTTGTGCTTTCCAGCACTTTCAATATCCTCAGTAGTTGAGTCAGCGTCCATTTGTATTTTATGGCTCAACAGGTTGGTTAATCTGGCATTATATTTGTTCTGGTTGGTTAATCTGGCATTATACTTGTTCCTTCATCCATTATTCAATATATACTGTATGAAACATGAGATTCCTTCACTCAGTAGTGTGCTGGAACTGGCTCGCAAGAGCCACTTGTTAAGTAGAGTATTGCTGAGCCACAATGCCTAATTGTGCCGATCATCTGTTTTTCAGCTGGCGGTGAGGTATTGTACAGCAGCAGCAATAGAGCCAGCGGAATAAATTCTTAAACGTTTATCAGTACACTCCTGCCTAGATTAATATTCTTTCGCACAAAACAAATAAACTTGCAGTTGTTTTTAAGTGGTACTCAGACAAGGAATGCATTGAAAATGTAAGAATTAGGAACAGAAAACTAATTCACTTTCTTTTATTTATTTTATTTGAAATAAGTATTAATTTATTTGACATTAATTTTAGTGATTCAGTGTAATGTGCACCTGACTTATGCTATGCCTTAACAAATGTTTATGTCTAGATATCCAGGATTTATTTTTCCATGCTTGGGCATCCATCCAGTTCAAAGTATTCCAGGTGGATGTGAACGCAGTGTTACTTTAAAGGTGACATGAAAAAAATTACAACTTTAAGTTCTATACATTATTAAGTCTATACTGTGTCTTAATTTATTAGATATTTTTCAGTCTTTATTAAATTGTAGTCAGGAGTTCTTTAATCTTACAACTAAGGAATAAAGTTCAATGAGTAAAAACTTGCCTAAGATCACAGAATAAATCCATTTTATGAGGCAGTTTATTAAAAATCATCAAGATTTTTAAAGTCAGTTTGGTTTAATTGAGTCACTGTAATGGTGAAATTGATGCCATAAAAATCTAATAAATAAATAAAATCTAAACACTAGATAAAAAGAAATTTCCTTATATTATATGGATGTATGAATAAGGCATATATATCATAGCTACCATCACAAAAAACTAAACACATAAGAAAATATCTACAGTAGGTACATACATAAAAACACACCATTAAGATGCCCCTTATTGATTTATTTAGATCAGTTTTATGAGACGTTTGCCTATTACAAGTCTTGTTGAGAACTCTTCTTAATGGAAGTTTAGAATTTCATGTAGATTAAAAGTACAGTTCTAAGACTTTTCTTGTAGAAGCAGCAGTGCACTCTCTCATATCAATATTTTTATAAGGAGAACAAAGGAAGAAGTAATGTTTTCCATTAAAAGTATACTATATAAGTACTAAGACATATGGCTTGGTATTGAGATGGGAATGTCCTATAGTGGCCAGAAAGAAGGTTTTGTCAACTTGGTTGATCAGAGGAAAATCCTCACATATATTTGAAAGTGAAATTCAATCTTTAGAAGGCAAGATACACTTTAGCTCCTTGGCTACCTTTTGGTTTCACACACAATACAATTAGTCCTTACAACAGTTTATTTAATGACCATTCAAAGTTACAACGGCACTGAAAACAGTGACTTACAACCATTTTTCACACTTATGACTGTTGCAGCATCCCCACGGTTACGTGATTTACATTCAGATGCTTGACAACTGATTCACATTTATGACGGTTGCAGTGTCCTGGAGTCATGTGATCCCCTTTTGCGACCTGACAAGCCACATCAATGGGGAAACCGGATTCACTTCCATGTTACTAATTTAACAACTGCAATGATTCACTTAACAAATGTGGCCAGAAAAATCATAAAATGGGGCAAAATTCACTTTACAACTTTCTCACTTAACAATATAAATTTTGGGCTCAATTGTACTCATAGGTTGAGGACTATTTACAAAGTTTTAATGTAGATTAAGATATTCAATATAGCGGTGCTTACAAACTTAGCATCTTTAAGTGTGGACTTCAACTCCCAGAATTCCACAATCAGCATGAGGTTAAGAAACACTGCAGTGTAGTAATGTATATGTTTTGTGCCTC